GCAAAGAATACACATATGAATGGAATACCATTTACCCAGACTCACTACTATTAACTTTCCATCCCATTTGCTTTACATTCTGTGTGTGTGTATGTAAGTAAATACGCATATATAATATTTTATATTTTTTTTCTCCAAACATTTGAGGCTAAATTACATAGATCATAGCCCTTTGCTCCTAAATGCTTCAGTGTTTATTTTATTTTATTTTTTTAATAAAGATTTTTTCTTTTTAAAGATTTTGTTTTTTATTTATTTGAGAGAGAGAGTGAGAGAGAGAGCACAAGAGGGGGTAGGGTCAGAGGGAGGAGCAGACTCCCTGCTGAGCAAGGGAGCCCGATGCGGGACTCCATCCCGGGACTCTGGGATCATGACCTGAGCCAAAGTCAGTCGCTTAACCAACTGAGCCACCCAGGCGCCATATTTTCTAAGAATAAAACTATCTTCTTTTTTTATTTTTTAGTATTTTTATTTATTTATGTAACAGAGAGAGAGCACAAGTAGGCAGAGGGAGAGGGAGAAGCCACGGGGCTGGATCCCAGGACCTTGGGATCATGACCTGAGCTGAAGGTAGACGCTTAACCAACTGAGCCACCCAGGCGCCCCTGTCTTTTAAGAATTTTAACTGGTAATTTTACCATCTGTAATCCTTTTGTCTAACCTGTTGTATTCCAGCTGTGCCAGTTGACCCAGTCATGTCCTTTAGCTTTTTTCCCTCTTCTAGTACAGGATCCAGTTGTATTTAGTTGTAAGATCTCTTTAATCTGGAATACTTCTACAACCTCTGTCTTTTATGCTAGTGATTTTTGGGAAAAATACATTTCCCCCTTCCCCTTTTATTTATTTTATTTTATTTTTTTTTTTTAAGGTTTTATTTATTTGACAGAGAGAAAGACAGCCAGAGAGGGAACACAAGCAGGGGGAGTGGGAGAGGGAGAAGCAGGCTTCCCGTGGAGCAGGGAACCCTATGCGGGGCTCTATCCCAGGACCCTGGGATCATGACCTGAGCTCGAAGGCAGACGCTTAACAACTGAGCCACCCAGGCACCCCCCCTTCCCCTTTTAAAATGGAATATTTCTCGTTTTGGATTTGTCTAATGTTTCATCATCATTAGATTCCAGCCAGAGTACTATGTAGGTGGTATTGTAACCTTCTTGGGGTATCATATCTGGAGGTACATGATGTCCACTGATGACGTTAATTATCATCAGTGACTACCTGGTGAAGGTTTTGTCCACTTTCTCCTTTGTATAATATTTTCTCCCTTTTTTTTTTTGGTAAAGATTTTATTTATTTATTTGTCAGAGAGAGAGAGAGAGAGCGCGCATTCACAAGCAGGGGGAGTGGCAGGCAGAGGGAGAAGCAGGCTCCCCGCTGAGCAAGGAGCCCAGTGTGGGACTCGATGTCAGGACCCTGGGATCATGACCTGAGCTGAAGGCAGACCAGTTGAGCCACCCAGGTGCCCCATATTTTCTCCCTTGTAACTAATCAGTGATTTTTTTTTTTTTAAGATTTTATTCATTTATTTGACAGAGACAGCGAGAGAGGGAACACAAGCGGGGGGAGGGAGTGGGAGAGGGAGAAGCAGGCTTCCCAGCGAGCAGGGAGCCCCATGTGGGGCTTGATCCCAGGACCCTGGGATCTTGACCTGAGCCAAGGCAGATGCTTAACGACTAAGCCACCCAGGTGCCCTGTAACGAATTAGTGATTGATGAAGACACAGTGTAAGACCATGCAGGTATCCTGCTCCCCCCACTCCATTTCTCCCTAGGTTTAGCACCCATTGATGATTCTTGCCATATCCAGTCTTTACTGTGATGCTTGCTAATTGCATAGCAGGAACATTTAAAGTTATACTTGAGCTTTATATAGCCGTAGCTTTTTAAAAACAGATTGGAAATATTTTTTTTTACACATTTTGAAATACTTCTTTCCAAATTAAATTGCAAGATGCAGGGGCGCCTGGGTGGCTTCGTTGGTTAAGCAGCTGCCTTCGGCTTGGGTCATGATCCCAGGGTCCTGCGATCGAGCCCCGCATCGGGGTCCCTGCTCGGTGGAGAGCCTGCTTCTCTCTCTCCCTCTGCCTGCCACTCCCTACTTGTGCTCTCTCTGTTAAATAAATAAAAATCTTTAAAAACCTACTTTAAAAAAAAAATTGCAAGATGCAAAAACATAAACCTGTGCCTTATCCTGACCTTTTTCAATCCAAATAATAAGGAAGGGAAAGAAAAATTTAGTATTTTACATTTTTTCATGCTATGATGTCTGGACTTACTTAATGTTTAGAAAAATGCAACTCATTAGTAAATGAAAATACATATATTTCTTTTTCTTTTTCTTTTTTTTTAAAGATTTTATTTATTTGACAGAGAGGGACACAGCAAGAGAGGGAACACAAGCAAGCATATATTTCTTTCAAATATGTATGCTTACTGGCTTTACTGAGGGGAAAAACAAATCCAGAATATAGGTGTGATTTTTAAAAAATGCACCTAATAGAAAGAAAATTATATTTTCTTCTGACTCATAAATGAAAGCCTAAAACTAAACAGTTTATATTCTATCGACCACAACCCTGGTAGAATGGTTGCCAAACTTTGTAGAGATGTTTATGACTTTGGTTCTTTTCCTCCAATGTCCCGATTAAATATAAAATTTCATTGCTTTAAATGGGGTCTGTTTATGGGGCTACACAATGTGGTCTACTTTATTTAGCTTGTCCTGTAGAAAGAACCCTGAGTAGCTGTTTTATTTGTTTGTTTTTAGAGAGAGTGCAAGGTGGGGGAGGGGCAGAGAGAGAGGGAGAGAGAATCTTAAGCAGGTTCCACGCCCAGTGCGGAGGCCAATGTGGGGCTCGATCTCACGACCCTAAGATCATGACCTGAGATGAAATCAGGAGTCAAATGCTTAACCGACTGAGCCACCCAGGCATCCCGTTTGTTTTTTAATATGTATTTGTTACCATGGTTATGAACACCTACACATTTACAGGTGAGGGGCACAGAACAAAGTTGGGTGAAGTGCAAGAGTGGTAACAGAGATGAAGAGAAGTAGACCAAGAGTTCTTTCCCTACTGGTATTAACTTAGTTAAAATATTAAATTTTAGTGTTTTCGAATGCATGGGGAGGCTTTGGGACAAGTTTTTGCCTTACGTACAAGGTGTCCTGGACCTGTGCATAAGGAAAATTTTTTTTTTTTTTAAGATTTTATTTATTTATTTGAGATAGTGCACCTGCGTGCACAGGCAGGAGTTGGGGGGAGGGGCAGGGGGAGAGGGAGGAGCAGACTCCCTGCTCAGCAGGGAGCCCGATATGGGCTCCATCCCAAGACTCTGAGATCATGACCTGAGCTGAAGGCAGACACTCAACCGACTGAGCCACCCAGGTGTCCCTGCTTTGGAAATTCTTATTAAAATTGTAATAGCATACAGATAAGGGAATATAACCACCTTAGCACTACAAATCGGATAAAAACTGACTGTGTACTAGAAATAATAATCTTTTTTTTTCTTTCTTTCTTAAAAGAGCTGGTGGGGCAGGTCTGAAGAGTCTTTGCCAGCTGACACTTAGGTCTCTTCTGACAGCCTTTCGTGACACCACCTATGACCTATGTCAGTGGGGAACTGTGGATGTGGAGGAGCAGTGACAGGCATCCCCACCCACCCCCAATGGCTCCTTTTGTCCTTCCCTTCTAGCCACAAATATTTAAGGAATCCTGTGTTAGCCCCTTTGTGTGGAGCTGGAGGTACACATTGGTATGGTAGCAGACAGGTTCTCTCCCTTGGTGGCTGCCAGTCCCGTCTTTAACCTGGTGGTCGGAGGGATGTGTGATTCAATTTCATGTTGATATCCCCCAGGGGACGCTCAGGGTGCTGTGAAAAGGGGGGGTGGGTGTGTCTGCAGAACAGCACGTGCAAAGGCCACATGGGGCATATTTGAAGAAAACAGCGAAGTCACCCGAATAAGAGTCAGGGTGGGAGGCACTTGGGTGGCCACACCTTGCAGGGTCCTGTGAAAATCTGTGTCTTTATTGTAAGTTATTTTATTCTGACTAAAAACTAAATTCCTGGTTCCCAAGGTGAAACTCTAAGGGCTGGTTCTGTGCTAAGTATTTTATGTGTATTAATTTATTTCTGTCTCACAACAGTGCTGTGAGTTAAGTTTTTCTAAGCAGAAACCCAGAAATCGTAAAGGAAAAATCTGATAAATTTAACCATGCCAAGATGAATTTCTGTGAAAAAGAATACCACAAACAGTGAAAAGTGCAAAAAGCTAAGATGAATATTTGCCACACGTATAATAAAGGATCATTTTCTGGGTATATCAAGAGCTCCTATAAGTCAGTAAGAAGAAAAAAAAATGCAGGAGAAAATGAACAATGACAAACCGACAACTCACAGAAAAGGAAGAAAAAGGGGCTTTGAAAACATAAAAAAGTATTTAGTGTCACACAGAAATGCAAACTAGAATGGTCCTTTTTTCCGTGAATCAGATTGACAAAGATGAAAAAATTTGGTAATATATGCAGTATTGGCAAAAGTGAGAGAAAACAGGGGCTTTCACATTCAATTTATGGGAGTTGAAACTGGTACCTTCTTTTGAGTGCAGCTGGGGAGATTTGTCAAAGTGAAAGGCAAACTCTTGCCAAAGCAATTTTCTGAAAATCTAATTTATGGATGTACTTGAAAAAGTGTATAATGATGATTGTAAACGATGTCTTCTGCTCTATTTTTTTTTTTTTTTGGATTTGCAAATACAGTTTATTTTGCAGAAATTCAACATTATAAACAGCAGGCACCTCCCACCCCACCCCACCCGCCTGCCCCCACCCCCCTCCCTGTCCCGCTGAGTGCAGACCGTGCTATGCAGAGTGAGCAGTGATGCAGCCCTACTGCTTTGGAGGGAGATTCAGGAGTGATGGAACCTGCCTGCATCATGTCCTGTCCGTCCCCCCCCCCCCCCGCCCTGGCCCGCTGCACAGGCCACCAGAGTCTGTCTGGGCCCAGCCCACATTGGACCAGTTAAATGGATCCAGCCCAGTTCTCTAATTCCTTCATATCATCCTCTTCCTCTTCCTTCTTCTTGGTGGGTTTTGATGGTAAGGTTATAGAGGGAACATTTGGTAGAGGGACTGTTTTGGGTCCCCTGATTTCCAGCAAATTCTTGTCCGGTTCCTCCTGTTCTAGTTCTTCTAATTCTAACATGAGCTCATCCTCATCAAACTCTTCTCCAAATCCTATAGGTTGTGAAATAGCTGTTGAAATCTCCTCTGCTAGTTCTTGCTGGTCAGCAATGTCCTGCATTAACTCATCAACTTTATCGATGTCCATGTTGTCGTGGGCAGCCTTCATGGCCTTAGCAGTAGAGCCTGCGTTTTTGTTTTTGTTTTTTTTTTAAAGATTTTTATTTATTTATTTAACAGAGATAGAGAGCATAAGTAGACAGAGCGGCAGACAGAGGGAGAGTGAGAAGCAGGCTCTCCACTGAGCAGGGAGCCCGATGCGGGGCTCGATCCCAGGACTCTGGGATCATGACCTGAGCCGAAAGCAGCCACTTAACCAACTGAGCCACCCAGGCGCCCCAGAGCCCGCGTTCTTGAGCACCTCAGTGTTGGTATTGGCGTTCTCCAGGGCCTCCCGCTGAAACTCGATGGTGGATAGTGTGCCATCGATCTATGCCAGCTGCTTTTCTTTCTTTCTTTTTTTTTTTTTAAAGATTTATTTATTTATCTGAGAGAGCTAGAAGGAGAGAGAGAGAGAGTACATGAGAGGGGAGAGGGTTAGAGGGAGAAGCAGGCTCCTCGCTGAGCAGGGAGCCCGATGCGGGACTTGATCCAGGGACTCCAGGATCATGACCTGAGCTGAAGGTAGTCGCTTAACCAACTGAGCCACCCAGGCGCCCCACGCCAGCTGCTTTTCATACCTCTTCCTTTGCTTCAGGGCCTGGAGGGCTGCGGGCTTGTTTCTGTGCTGGGCTTCTTGGCGTGGCGGTCAGCTCCTGCCCGATCTTCATCTCCAGGAATTCCTGCTTCTTGCTTAGCATCTCCTCCGTGTCCGGCAGCCGCTGGAGGGCATCCTGAGGGGTCAGGCCGCCCTTGCTGGCCTTACCCACTCCTGCTCCGAATAGTTTGCCGAACACTGACGTGGTTTCTGCTCACCAAATTGGCCTGCGCCATCTGCTCCCCTTGTCTTTTTTTTTTTTTCAAAGATTTATTTATTTTAGAGAGAGAGCATGCACTGGGGGAGAGGCAGAGGGAGAGAGAGAATCTCAAGCAGATTCCCCACTGAGCGCAGAGCCCAATGTGGGGCTCAATCTTACAACCCTGAGATCGTGACCTGAGCTGAAACCAAGAGTTGGATGCTTAACCGACTGAGCCGACTGCACTCCTCTGCTGCATTATCTGTGATAACAAAACCTAGGCATAATATAAATGTCCTGGAATGGGGATTAAGTTCCTGGGGGTATATTCATACGATGGAATATTGTGTAGCCATTAAGAAGAATGTACTGCTATAGAAGGATCTTCAAGTTGTAGGAAGTGAAAAAAATTGGGGTGTAGATCAGGAAGATTCCGTGTGTGTGTGTGTGTGTCTATAGAGGTAATAGTGTGTTTGCACACGTGCATTTGTTACTATGGCCATTTTCTAGGTGAGTTAACAGCGAAGTGAAATCACTAGCCCATGAGCACACAGAGCTGGGATGTGAACAAGGGCAGTCTAGCTTCAGCCCATGTGATTTTTCTCAAGGCCAATCAGAATGATGTTTAGATTCCCCCTAAAACACTAGTGAGATGGTATAGGAAAAATTAATAAAATGAATTTCAGTTAATGTAAACAGCAGGAATGTTGATAGACTATGTCTGCACTCTTGCCTTTTCTGATTATTTGTCAGAACAACCTTACGTTTAGTATTATGATTGTCAATAATAATATCTAACGTTTAGTGCTTAGTGTGGACCAACACTTGGACAACTAACTTAACATTTCAAATTAACACACACCAAATCTATCCCTTGATGTTCCTCTCCTCACCCTTTCCATATTTCCAACCTTCTAGTTGACTAGACTCCAAACCTAGGAGTGTTCTTACTCTGTTCTTTCCCATTCCATGTATAATCCTTTATGAAATCCTGTTGGCTACTCTCAAGATATTCCTAGTTGGACTATTTATCACTCCTCCCACCGCTGGCACCTTGGTCCTTGGTACCATCATTTCTTGTCTGGATTATTTATCACGGTGGCTTTCTTAACTGACTTGCGTGTTATCCCTGCTCAGTAGTTTGAAAGGTGATTTAAAAATATAAGTCCGATCATGTCGCTCCTCTGCCTAAACCTTCCAGTCCTTTCCCATTTCGCAAAAAATAAAGATTGAGGTTTTTACAGTGTCTCTGAGGCCCTACATCTTCTGGCTTTTCATTACCTCACTGGCCTCCTCTACCTGTCTGTCCCTTGCCCTGCCCCAACCACACTGGCCTCTTGCATAATGTCATATATGGTCCACCCCTTGCCTGGTATGCTCCTCTCCTGCATATGGGCATGTTGCTGCCTTGCTTCTTCCAGGTCTTGTCAGATGTTACCTTATCACTGAAGCCCTCCCCATATATCCTGTATAAGTAGCATCCCTCTCACTGCTTTATTCCTCTTTTTTGAACGTTTTTTTTTTTTAAGATTTTATTTATTTATTTGAGAGACAGTGTGAGAGAGAGAGCATGAGCAGGGGAGAGGGCAGAGGGAGAGAGAGGAGAAGCAGACTCCCCACCAAGCAGGGAACCTGATGTGGGGCTTGATCCCAGGACCCTGAGATCATGACCTGAGCTGAAACCAAGAGTCAAGAGTCGGGTGCTCAACCGACTGAGCCACCAAGGTGCCCCACAGCTTTATTCCTTTTGTAGCAGTTATCAACATCTGATGTTTTATTTATTTACTTTTATTTCCTTGTTTATTTATTTATTTATATATTTTTAAAAGATTTTTTTTTTTTTAAGATTTTATTTATTTGCGAGAGAGAGAATGAGAGACAGAGAGCATGAGAGGGAGGAGGGTCAGAGAGAGAAGCAGACTCCCCGCTGAGCAGGGAACCCGATGCGGGACTTGATCCCGGGACTCCAGGATCATGACCTGAGCCGAAGGCAGTCGCTTAACCAACTGAGCCACCCAGGCGCCCTATATTTTAAAAAAGATTTTATTTATTTGAGAGAGAGAGAGAGCGTGCAAGCAAGAGAGGCAGAGAAAGAGCGCGAGTGCATGCACACAAGCGGGCAGAGGGAGAGGGAGAGGGAATAGCAGCCTCCCCGCCAAGCAAGGAGCCAGATGGGGGCCTTGATCCCAGGACCCCGAGATCATGACCCGAGCCGAAGGCAGACGCTTAACTGACTGAGCCACCCACGTGCCCCTCCTTGTTGTTGTTGTTTTTTTAATCTCCTTCATTGCAAAGGAACCCTCAGGGATGTTATTCTGTTAGCTGGCGTGTCATCCTTAGTGCCTGTGATAAATACTCAGTGTTTGTGGAATGAGTGAATTTAGTAAGCCCTCTTTTTTATTATTCCATTTTATTCTTTATTATTTTCATTATTTAATTTTTTGCCTACCCCCTATTTTTTTTTTAAACAGCTTTAATGAGATATAATTCACATACCATACATATTTAAAGGACACAGCTCAGTGGTTTTTAGTATATTTACGTAGTGCACTATAATCTTAGGACATTTTCATCACCTCAGAAAGAAACCCTGTAGCTATTAGCTATCCGCTTTCTCAAAGCAAGCACTAATCTACTTCTATCTCTGTGGTTTTGGTTACTCTGGACATTTCACATTAATGGAATCATACAACATGTGGCCTCTTGTGTTTGATTTCTTTCCTTTAGCATAATATTTTTGAGGTTCATCCGAATCGTAGCATTTTTAAAATTAATTAATTTGAGAGAGAGGGAGAGAGAACATGAGTGGGGGGAGGGGCAGAAGAGGAGGGAGAGGGAGCGAGAGAATTTCTTAAGCAAACACTGTGCTGAGCATGGAGCCCAACATGGGGCTCGATCCCACAACCCCAAGATCATGACCCAATCCAAAACCAAGAGTCCATCGTTCAACCGACCGAGCCATCCAGGAACCCCCAGTACTTTGTTACTTTTAAGGGCTGACTGACAGTATACTGTATGGACTCTCAGTTTATTCTTAAAAGGAACATAAGAATTATGGCAAAAAAAACCCGGTCAGTCATTGCCTTTTTGAGGATGATGAATCTGAGGTGGGAATAACTTTCTCAGGTTGCTGAGCTAGTAAGTGGTAGAGCTCAGATGTGCACCTGGGTCTGTGTGATCGGAGGAGCCCTAGCCACAAGGCTGCAGAGCTTTCCATGTCCTTAATGCATGATTTATGACAGCTTTTCACCCTTGTGTTCTCTCTTCTTCACTGTTGTAGCACGCTTTAATTGGGCTAATAGTTGTTGAGAAGTATCTTGGAAGTTCATTTGATTATCAGGACCAGGACTCTACGTTTAATAATTGATGTATGTTCCCTGGAGTATTGAATTAGCCTCTAAAGGTCCCGGATAATTTGACTTCAGAAATTACTCTTTTTACCACAGATCTTGGTGACTTTTGGAATCCATGAAGGAAATCTTGTTGGGAGCTAGAGAGGAATCCTCTGAAGTGGATGGCATTCATGGTGGACTTCGTTATTTGTGTGTTTTTTAAAACTTTTAATTTTGAAATAATTTCAGATTTACACAGATGTAAGAATAATACAGACAACTTCTGTTTAGTTTTAACCCAGATTTAGCAGCTAACGTACATTTGCCTTCCCTCGTATTTATACATACTGTATATATAACTTCATCCTGAACCATTTGAGTTAAGTTCCAGACATGATATCTTGTTACTCTAAAATACTTCAGTGTGTATTTCCTAAAAACAGAGACACAGACGTAATTATAGTACACATATCAAAATCAGGAAATTTAGATTATAATGGTATTATCATCAAATTCCTACCTCCCCCCTGGTCAATGATATGGTCCAGAAAGAACCATGCAATGTATTACTTGTGTCCTGTTTCTGGCCTGTGTCCTGTTTCTGGCCTGTAACCTGGAAAGTTCTTGGGATGTCTCCTCCCCCTTCACAGTTTTGACATTTTTGAAGAGTATGTGCTAACAGTTACTTTGTAGAATGTCATGCACTTGGGGTTTGTCCCATGTTCCTCATAATTAGATTAGGTAATGCATTTTTGGCAGGAGTATCACAGAAATGGCACGTGTTCTCAGTGTGTGATGTCAGGAGGCACATGATGCCATAACTGATGTTGTTAACTTTTTTTTTTTTTAAAGATTTTATTTATTTATTCATTAGAGACAGAGGGAGAAGCAGGCTCCCAAGGAGCAGGGATTCCGATGCGGGACTCGATCCCAGGACCCTGAGATCATGACCTGAGCTGAAGGCAGATGCTTAACCATCTGAGCCACCCAGGCGCCCTCTTTTTTTTTTTTTTTAAAGATTTTATTTATTTATTTATTTGAGAGAGAGAAACAGCATGAGAGGAGAGAGGGTCAGAGGGAGAAGCAGGCTCCCCGTTGAGCTTGGAGCCTGATGTGGGACTCGATCCCAGGGCTCCGGGACCATGACCTGAGCTGAAGGCAGTCGCTTAACCAACTGAGCCACCCAGGCGCCGATGTTGTTAACTTTTATCAGTTGGTTAAGATAGTATCTGTCAAGTTCTCCACTGTGAGGTTCATGAGGATTTTTTGTTAATTAACGAGTAATTAGTAAGTATTTTGTGGGGAGGTACTTTGAGTGGCTGTAAATACCCTGTCCTTCCTGAAATGGTCACCCACCAGTTTTAGTGTCCTCTGATGATTCTTTTTTTTTTTTTTTTAAAGATTTTATTTATTTGACAGAGACACAGCGAGAGAGGGAACACAAGCAGGGGGAGTGGGAGAGAGAGAAGCAGGCTCCCTGCGGAGCAGGGACCCCGATGCGGGGCTCGATCCTAGGACCCTGGGACCACGACCTGAGCCGAAGGCAGACAACGACTGAGCCACCCAGGCACCCCTCCTCTGATGATTCTTGCCTGAACTATTAATGTGATGGTCACCAAATGGTGATTTTTCTAATTCTGTTCTTCCTCCTATAGTGATTATATATCATTCTTTGTGATTCTACTGCAAAGAGCTTTCCCTTTGTCTCCATGTATTTTTTTTTTAAGATTTTATTTGTTAATTTGATAGAGAGAGTGAGAGCATGAACAGGGGGAGCGGCAGAGGGGGAGGGAGAGGCAGGCTCCCTGCTGAGCAGGGTACCGTGGCATATAGTAAGGTATTCCAAACTCATCTTACTTTTAGTGCACCAGACCTGGAATCAGCTTTTTCTTCAAGGAACCCAGTTCCTTTTGTTGGAGAATGGTATTTAGAAACCATGATAACGGTGCTGGTTATGCTGATGGCTACTGGGGTGTTATTGCTTCCAGGCCCTTTTAGAAGAGAGAGCTAGGAAGATGCGTATGTATATGCATGCACAAATGCACACGGACATACCCAGAACCATACATCTGTATTTCTATAGCCATCTCTGTATGTATGTTAAAAATTAGAGTTTACATTACCTCCAATTCTAATCTGGTTTATTCTGGTTTTCTTCAGATCTGGTTGTATCCCCTCTCCAATAGTGAGAAACCTGGCTCTCATCATCCTTACTATGTTTACATATTCACTAGTTTCTTTCTTTCCTTGTTTAATTCTACTCCATGTGTTCAATCTCCTGACCATATGGACTATCTTCCTGGGCTTTGGGCTCAGCCTCATACCCATTCCCCCGGCCCCACCGACTATGCTGGCAGTATCGAAGGCTCCTATCAAGAGGAAGTCAAGCAGAGGGTAGTGACCAAGGAGAAGAGGGGGAAGAGGAAGGGAAGGTCCTATTTTGTATTTTTATTAGCTGCTCTACTCATAGGCATTTTAGCTGTGATGGTGTGGAAAGTAGTACTGATGGAGAATTTTGGTTTTCATCGCTCTCTCCATTTTTCTCTCACTCAAGATGGTTTCACCCAAACATCACTGGCGTGGAGGCAGAAAACCTGCTGTTGACAAGAGGAGTTGATGGCAGTTTTTTGGCGAGGCCCAGTAAAAGCAACCCTGGAGACTTCACCCTTTCCGTCAGGTAAGTTGGAAGGAAAAGAGAACCCTGCAAGGGTTTTTCAGGTGGGAAATATTGACCCCCCCCCCCCCCCCCCCCAGGATAGCTTGCTACCCTCATTGAGAGTTTGAAGGCCTGGCCCATGGGTCAGATGTGACTCAAGCCTGCTTGCGGGGCTCAGGCGTGGCCTCCTGAGAGTGGGCATGTGGGAATGCGGCAGAAGGGGCGTCATGATGGGCATTTCTTCTCCCCTGAGAGACCCCTGAGGGTGAGGTGGACAGAGTGTTGCAGGTCCTTAAGCCACGCACTGCCTGATCCTGGTTCCACTCATCCTGAACCTGGTTGCCTGCATTTTTCCTTTTGATTTCTTAATGGGAGGAATGCTTTTTAAGAGTCTGTTCAGATCACTTTTTCAAGAAATTAACATCACTGAGGAAGTTGTGGTCCCGTTTGTCCCCCTGCCCAGTCCCATTCCCCTCCCTCTTTCCCCAGAGGAAACCACTCTCCAGAGGTTGGCATATATCCTTCCTGAATGTGTTTTTATACTTGTACTGTCTGGGTACTATTGTGAACAATATAAAGTTGGTTTGTGTGTTTTTAGAATTCACATGCATGGTCTTATATCTATTATTCTGCAACTTCCTTTTTAAAGTTTTTGAATTCTCTGCTGGTACATATAGATCTAATTATTCCTTTTAATGGCCAACATAATTTATTTACTTCCTTATTTAAAAACAGTAATAATAAAAGCAAATTCATAAAGCAGTAAAGTTATAGCTCCTGGAATAATCTAGAGTAAAGGGAATAAGTACATAAGAGAAGGTCAGTTTCTAGAAAAATTCTGTCACACTTGCTCAAAGAGACATGTAACAGGATGTTGGTCATACTGTTCAAAAAAATTTAAAACAAACTAAAAGCAACTCTGTGTCCCACAATAGAGGGTTGGATAAATTGTGGTAGGTTTATTTAGGATCCCTTTGGGACTTGGGAAATCTCTTTTTGGCTTAGATTAGTTTTTTGAGGAGCCCCTGTCCTTAGCTTTTAGTTGTGGTTTTTTGGTTTTGTTTTGTTTTTAGATTTTATTTATTTATTTGAGAGAGAGAGAGTGCATGCATGAGAGAGCGTGAGCAGGGGGAGGGGTAGTGGGAGAGGGAGAAGCAGACTCCCCACTGAGCAGGGAGCCCGACGCGGGGCTCGATCCCAGGACCCTGGGAACATGACCTGAGCCGAAGGCAGATGCTTAACGACTGAGCCACCCAGGCGCCCCCTCAACTTTTTATTTTGAAAAATTTCTGACCTGTAGAAAAGTTGAAAGATGAATATAGTGAACACCCACGTTCTCTTCACCTGCCAGTTTTGTCATGTTTGCCCTTTCTGAGTATGTTTGTGTATATACTTTTTTTCCCCCTGAACTTTTTAAAAATAAGTTGCAGATAATCAGGATATTTATTTTTACCTTTATTTTATTTAAACATTTTTTTTAGAGATTTTATTTTTACGTAATCTCTACACCCAACGTGGAGCTCAAACTCATAACCCCGAGATCCAGAGTCGTATGCTCTACTGACTAAGCCAGCCAGGCGCCCCTATTTTTACCTTTAAATACTTCAGTGTGTATGTCGGATAAACGAGGGCATTCTCCTGTGTAACTACAATACCATTATTATAGGTAAATTTTAACCTTGCTTTAATAATATTGTCGAATATATAATATATCATCTGTATTCAGGTTTCCCTTATTATTTTAGAAATGGCTTTTGAAGCAGTTGAGTCTCCCCCTGCACCCCTGCCCCTTCCCCCAGACTAGATTCAGGAGGATCTCATCAAAGATCATTCATTGCATTTAATTTTTATGTTTCTAGTCTCTCTCTCTCCTGACCTTTTCTTTTTATCCCTGTCTTTTGGGCAGTCAGGCGAGTCATTTCTTAGGTTGTCCTCCAATCTCAATTCGCTGATTGTTTCCTCATTTTTACATTCAGCTGAAACATTTTTGGCAAGCACACTCCAGAGGTGATGCTGGATCCACCCCGTTATTTCACTGGAGGAAGCGCAGAGTGTCTATTTGCCCCATCTTTCGGTGGTATTCAGTTTAATCGCTTGATTCAGGTGTTTGCCAGATTTTTTCATTACAAAGGCACCTTTTTCTTTTTGTAATTAATAAATGGTCTGATGGGTGATAGTTTGTATCTTCTTCCCCAGTATTTTCTCATTTCATGTTTTTAGCATATGTTGATGAAGTTTGTCTGAATAAATCATTATATTGACACCTGAAAAATTATTTTTCTAATTCTGTTCTTTTTTTTTTTTAAAGATTTTATTTATTTATTTGAAAGAGAGAGCACAAGCAGGGGAGGGGGTCAGGTCAGGTGGGGAGAGACAGAGGGAGAAGCAGACTCCCTGCTGAGCAGGGAGCCAATGTGGGGCTGGATCCTAGGACCCCGAGATTACAAGATCATGACCTGAGCTGAAGACAGATACTTAACCAACTGAGCCACCCTGGTGCCCCAGCCTTATTATTATTTTTGATGTTCAAGTTGCCCCACATTTGGCCTGTGTGGTTCCTGTATCCTTTTGACATTTCTTCAGTGATCTTTGATTACATCCTTGCCTTCTGGTTCTGTGAGATGTTTCAGGCCATTTTTATATATATATATATATTTTTTTTTTTTTTTTCCCCAAGCCTGGAATCATTCTTTTCTCTCAAGAGCCTTGATTCTTTCAGTGGGGAATGGTGTTCAGAAACCAAGATTTAGAAGCTAGGTGTGTTTATTGCTTCTCAGCCCTCACAGTAGACAGAGCTGGGAAATAAATATTTATATATTTCAAACCAAGTGTTCTTCTTTTTTTTTTAAAGATTATTTATTTATTTATTTATTTATTTATTTATTGAGAAGCAGGCTTCCCGCTGGGCAGAGAGCCTGATGCGGGGCTTGATCCCAGGACACTGGGATCATGACCTGAGCTGAAGGCAGATGCTTAACGACTGAGCCACCCAGGCGCCCCTCGAACCATGTGTTCTTACTGATAGTTCAAGTTCAGTGCAACTTTCTTACCTTTTCCCTTTCCGTATTTGTATTTACCTTCTCCTCTGTGGAGAACCCTGCTTCCAGCAGCAGCAATATATGACCTCACTTGGCCAGTTCTATAATACAAAAATAGTTCCAGAATTACTATACCATTGTCATTTCTAACTACGAACCTGTTAAGTGAAGTTCATGATTTTTTCAGAGTCTTTTTTGTTCTTAGAATATATCCCACTAAAGGCAAACAGTCAGTACTGCTCAAAAGGTACTGTAATTAGTTTTCTGTGTAGTTGTGAGCTAATTACAAAGAGAGATTCATTTCTTTCTGTTTGTTTCAGTGTTTTTCAGGTATTCATCTTTTTATGATCTTTGTTGATTTAATTGTATTTTTTGAATATGTGAAACATTTACAAGATTTAAAAATCAAACGGTATAAAAAGGTATTTTCTGAGAAATCCCATTCTTATATCCATGCCTTGCACCATTTCCATCCATCACTGTAGGTAATCATTTCCCTTAATTTCTAGTTTATCCTTTGGTTTCTTTTTACACTTATGAAGTAGAATACTATCTATCTTTCTTTATAGTTTACTTTTTTCACTTAACAGAAATCTTCTAATGATCTTTCTCATCTTCGTAGTCAACTGAATAGCATATAAATTTATACAATTTCCCTACAGATGGGAATTTAGTTTTTTCTAGTATTTTTTTTTTTTAAGATTTTTTTTTAAATTTATTTATTTGAGACAGAGAGAATGAGAGAGACAGAGAGCACATGAGAGGGGGGAGGTTCAGAGGGAGAAGCAGGCTCCCTGCCGAGCAGGGAGCCCGATGCGGGACTCGATCCAGGGACTCCAGGATCATGACCTGAGCCGAAGGCAGTCGCTTAACCAACTGAGCCACCCAGGCGCCCAAGTTTTTTCTAGTATTTAACAGTGATAGATAAGGCTACAGTAAATGTGATCACATTTTGCATATGTGCTGTGCTTTTGAAAAGCTGTCTTCAGGGTGAATTCCTGGGAGTGAGGTGATTGGGGCAGAGAGGAAATGCACAGATAGCATTGTTTTTTCAAATTCTTCTCCATAGTGATTGTGCCGTTTTGCACTCCCACCAGTCATATACGAGGGGCCCGTTTTTCCACAGCTTCACCATTTGAGTGTGGTCAATCTTTTTCTTTTTATCAGCTTGATAAAAAGTATCTCTGAATTTTAATTTTTATTTCTATCAAGATTGAAGTGGAACATCCTTTAATGTGTTTAAAGGCCATTTGTATATCTTTTTTGTGAACTTAGAACCACTGCTTTTGACAACTGTCCAACACTGCCAAGTTTCACTTTTTTTGTTTCTTCATACGTGATACAGCAGCTGTTAGAAATGTGCCCGGGCCTCTGTGTGTGCGTGTATGCGTGTGCATATGATGTGTTTATTGTTCTGGTTCTGGGCAGACAATCTAACCTTTTTATTATGTGCCCATGCTTAAAATTCAATCATTATGTTACCTTATATTTAGCTCGTCAAGGAACATCCCCCCTCCCTCTTTTCCCCCATCTCCTCCTGCTCTCCCTTTTTAATTTTGAGGGAAAAAAATACAGAAAAATACATAAAATTATGTACAATCACCCGTGTTGTATTTACTGCCAGTGATTTTTTTCCTTCAAAATAGAATATAAAATAAAACAAAATTTCCCTTTACTCAACACTCTTGATCCTGTTCTTCCTTTTGTCCCATTGACAGCTACTCTCATGAGTTTGTCGTACTTCTAATTCATTAAGTAATACAATAAGTAACATTACAGGGAAAAATATCTTTACAATAATAAAATATAACACATATGTGTATGTATGTCTGTATCTTGAATAATACGTAGTATTACTTGTGTGTGTGCTTAAATTTTCATAAATGGTACATGGTGAGCATATCATTCTACATTGTGCTTCTTTCATGCACTGTTATGTTTTTGAGATCCATCTGTGTGGCTGTATATTAATGTAGTTCATACCTGAAATATCTTTCTTTGTGTTATGGCATTAAGTAAAGGCTAGAAATGGGAAACTCAGGTGTTAAAGTAGAGTCAGATGTAGTTGACTGGGGGTGAGGGTGACCTGAAGGACCCTTTTTACCCACTGGAAAATGTCACCAAAAATCAGAAGCAGGTATTGTCAGAAACATTATGGGACAGTTTTTCTTATTTTCTTTAGTTCCCATATTCTTTTTTTCTTGGTAGAAATGTGTTTATATTTTCCAGAGGCTTCATCAGTAATGCTACAGGGTCAGACTAAAAGCTCATATAGGTTAATGGTTATCATTTTGGAAGTGCCTGGCCACTTGTGGGGGTCTTACCCCCCCAAGGTTATAATGAGTATCCTTGTGATATATTCATTTGTTCAGAAAACTGAATGGAAATCACAGGCTGCCTGGGCTAACTAAAATACCAAGTTTTAGAAACTTTTGATGAATGTTATGTTAGTGGGATAGCATTTTAGCCATCTTATGCTGGAAACTGTCAGTTGTCTGTGTTTTTAAAATGATTATTTAAGGTACGATTATATACAGTATCTTATGTGTACAGTGACATGAATTTTGGCAAATGTTTTTATTTTTGTAACCAACACTGCAGTCAAAATATTTTCATCACCCTAGAAGATTCTTTTGTGCCCCTTTCTAATCTCCCTCCTTCTAAGTAGCTACCACTATTCTCATTTCTAACCCTATAGACTAGTTTTGCTTATTCTACAACTTCGTTGACAAATGAAGTCATACAGTATATATTCATTTGTGTCTGTCTTCTTTTTCTCTCTCTCTCTTTTTTTGAAGATTTTATTTTTAAGTAATCTCTCCGCCCAGTGTGGGCCTCGAACTCACAACCCAAAACCAAGAGTCACACACTCTCCCGACTGAGCCAGCCAAGCACCCCTGGCCTCTTTCTCTTTAACATAATGTTTTTGCGGTTCATCCATGTAGTTGTATGTTATCAGTGTTTTGTTTTTGTTTTTTTTTTTAATTGCTGTGTAGTGTTCTAGGGTATGAGTATGTAACTATTTATTTATCCATTTTGGTAATAAATGTTTGAGTTTCCAGTATTTTTCTATTCCAAATAAAACTGCAATGAATATTATACAAGTCCTAGGTTAGCTATACAGTTTCATTGGGGGGGACAAAATACTTATGGGTGGATTTACTGGATTAGAAGATAGAGTGATGTTTAACTTTAGTATATGTGTCTCTATTAATTACTGATGAGAAGAATTATTGTCACTTAATATATGCAATTTGATAGGTCAAACTTCCAAAGTAGAAGTTGTAGAAGGGAAAGGAGCCAAGAAACAAAGACCTTCGTGTTGAAATGGTTGACTGTGTGGTTTTCACTCACTGCGTTTGTTACAGGAGAAGTGTAAACTGGCTTCTTGGGTGTATTTCAAGGTTTAGGTGAAATTTGATATTGAATATGACATCCATTTTTACTAGTATAGCTCTTCATTAGTTTTTGTTTTCCCCCTAATGGACTCTTTTAGAAGAAATGGCGCTGTCACCCACATCAAGATTCAGAACACTGGTGATTACTATGACTTGTACGGAGGGGAGAAGTTTGCCACTTTGGCTGAGTTGGTCCAGTATTACATGGAACATCATGGGCAATTAAAAGAGAAGAATGGAGATGTTATTGAGCTTAAATATCCTCTGAACTGTGCAGATCCTACCTCTGAAAGGTTAGTGACTGTGGGGCATCTCTCTCATGCTATACAAATGAATTTGTGGGGCTTTGGCTTTACCTGTTTCCCAAGCTGTAATCTTTGTAACTAAAGTTCAGTTTTACTGAAACCAGAATCATAGGATCAGATGATTTGCAGAGTGCCCCTTTCTTGTAAAAGCTTCGATCAGTGTTCCTTACACTTAATTTCGCAGGGTCTCAGGCAATTCCTGTTTATACTTGGTACATGCAGTAATCTTAAGATTATTGAACTTGAGCTGATAATCTCTGAGAGTTAGGAGAGGAAAACAAGTACTAATGGAGGCGCCCAGTCAGCAGCAGGTCCCGGAGTAGCTTCCCACCAGCTATTCAGCGAGGCCACCAACAGATGTCAGTTTAAGCTCAGAAGCCGAAAAGCAGAGTGCGGAGGGTCAGATTTTTCACCAGTTCTGTTATGTTGTATCCACAAATGTGGAGAATGACCTTGCTTAGAGGGAATTAAATTATTTCAGAGATCTTCTTCCCCTTGTGTTGGAACCAAGCTGATGAAATCCGGGACTTGACTTATTTTTATTGATTTTATTGGTTTTCTACATTCCCATCCTCCTTTCTAACTCAGTACAAATTCCGGGTCTCTTGATTAGGTTTGTATATTTTATATCTTCAGATAGGTTTCTTCAACTTGCACCTTTATGTCAGCGCTGTTACAGGCAGATCATTTGTTTCTCCAGTTACCACTGTAGCTTCAAGCAAAAGGCTGTTAGCCAACTCAGTTTATTTCTGAATTTTACTCTGTTCAGGTGAGGGTGGATGAAAAATAACTCAAAGGATATTCCTCTAGCAATGAGCCATTAGCGCTCTCTGCCACGACAGTGCTTGCTTTCTTACCAAGATCCTGAGGGGAAAAGCCACATTAGTAATATAACTGTGTTAAGATTTTTTTTTTTTTAAAGATTTTATTTATTTATTTGAGAGAGAGAATGAGATAGAGACAGAGAGAGCATGAGATGGGGGAGCGTCAGAGGGAGAAGCAGACTTCCCGCTGAGCAGGGAGCCCGATGCGGGACTCGATCCCGGGACTCCAGGATCATGACCTGAGCCGAAGGCAGTCACTTAACCAACTGAGCCACTCAGGCGCCCTGTGTTAAGATTTTTTTAAAGGTTTATTTATGTATATAATTCCCCCCCCGCCCCTCGCATGGGGCTAGAACTCATGACCCCGAGATCAAGAGTCACAGGCTCTTCCGACCAAGCCAGCCAGGTGCCCCATTACAGTGTTTTTTATAGTATCTTAGAGTAATGTTGTTTCAGAGTCTTTCCTCTTATGACCTGCATCAGGACTCTGGAGTGCTGGGTAAAAATGCAGATTGCTTGGCTCCTTTCAAACTTAGTGTATCGCTATCTCTGGTTGGGAGGTATGGGAATTCACATTTTTAGCAAAATCCCTCACCCTTTCTCTAGATGTTATATGCTTTAGAGCTTGAAATGATAACCCAGTATACAGTCCAAAGATGTTGACAGCAAACTTGGAGGCTTTTGAAGTATTGGTGGGAAATATTAAGAAATTTGGAATGCTTAAATTAATTTATAGTTTCCTTTTTTATGTAGTATTCATATACCAAAGCAAGGGCAAACATTCAAATGATTTTTTTTGTCTCTACCATGACTTTCTATTTTAATTTCTTTTTTTTTTTTTTAAGATTTTTTTTTATTTACCTGAGGGAGAGAGCATGAGTGGGGATGGGAGGGGTGGGGGAGTGGGGAGGGGCAGAGGAAGACTCCCCACTGAGCAGGGAGCCCAGCGTGGGGCTTGATCCCAGAACACCCAGATCATGACCCGAGCTGAAGGCAGGTGCTTAACCCACTGAGCCACCTGGGCACCACTATTTTAATTTCTTTAAATGGCTGTGATTAAATAGTTGGTCGTTTTGGTGTAGGGCATGGAGAAAAGACAAAGTGCATTTTTTTTTTTTTAAAGATTTTATTTATTTGAGAGAGAGAATGAGAAAGAGAGCACATGAGAGGGGGGAGGGTTTGAGGGAGAAGCAGACTCCCTGCCGAGCAGGGAGCCCGATGCGGGACTCGATCCTGGGACTCCAGGATCATGACCCGAGCCGAAGGCAGTCGCTTAACCAACTGAGCCACCCAGGCGCCTGACAAAGTGCATTTTTAAAAGATGGGAGATTCAAAAGAAAATAGAAAAGATTGAGGGCATTTGTTTACAAATGACTGTGGGCTCATTTAAAAAGTTTAATGCTTATTAACATCCTTCTCATTTTTTCTGCCTGCTTGGGATGCAGATTATCTCATGTGGGATTGGCCAGTCCCTTGGAGGAATGGGTCTGTTTTTTAATAGTGTTTGGGAGAGCTGGCTATGTATGGTAGTTTTGTGAAAGAATACTGTGAACCCGTGGCAGAACTCAATTGATTTTCATTTAAACAAATTTAGGTGGTTTCATGGACACCTCTCTGGGAAAGAAGCAGAGAAATTACTAACTGAGAAAGGAAAACACGGTAGCTTTCTGGTACGAGAGAGCCAGAGCCACCCCGGAGATTTTGTTCTGTCTGTCCGAACTGGTGACGACAAAGGGGAGAGCAATGATGGCAAGTCTAAAGTGACCCACGTCATGATCCGCTGTCAGGTAAAGTCCCACTTGAACTACCGGTCCGGCAAAATGTCGTCTTTGGGTGATTCTTCTGCTCAGGAAGACAGACATCACTTCCAAAGTCAGATTTTCTTTGCTCAGTCACAGGCTTATATGTTTTTAGAGTATTATTTATTACATTGGTTTCATCATTTCAGAACTTTATTAAATTATTTCTTTCCAGTCTATTGCTGGCAGATTAAGTCATGCCTCAGCACATCACCTTTTGCCCTGGAGCACCTGATCTGTTTTTGCTAGAGTCGGCCTCAGTCTCCCTGTTTCTGAAGTGATGGCCTCAGCTCCTCCTTAGGATTGTCACAGTCTGGCCTGTGCCTGCATTTTCCTTCATATTAGAGTTCCTGTGTCAAGGCTAGGAGAATTGAACTCACTCTTTCTTACTGTCTTTCTTCCCTCCTTCCTTCCTTTCTTTCTTGGATTTTATTTTTAAGGATCTTTACGCATAACACGGGGCTCAAACTTACAACCCCGAGGTAAAGAGTCACGTGCTCCACCAACTGAACCAGCCAGGCGCCCCTGAACTCACAATTTCTTGTTTTTAATGTGGCGACTGGACTAAGGAGATTGGTTCTTGGTCAACTATGTCAAACTTTCCTAAAAAGAAACTGTCTATTCACGTATTTCTTCAGTTTTTAAATTAAATATATATTAAAAGACCCCAGCTTTATTGAGGTATGATTCACAGACCATACAATTCACCTTTTTAAAGTGGACAGGTTTTTGGTATATGCACATATTATGCAACTACCGACACTAATTCCAGAACATTTTCAGCACCCCAAAAAGAAACCTTGTGTCCGTTACCAGTCGCTCCCCATTATTTCCTCTCCCTCCACCTCTTGGCATCCACCAATCTACTTTTTGTTTTTATGGATTTGCCAGTTTTGGATATTTCATATAGATAGAATCATATAATCTGTGGCTTTTGCATCTGGTTTCTTTTACTTTGCATAATGTCTTCAAGGTTTATCCGTATTATGGTGTGTGTCAACAAACTATTGTCAAATACTCCATTGTATGGCTGGAGTACATTTTGTTTCTCCATTAAAAAATTTATGGGCATTTTGGCTATTATGAATAATGCTGCTATGAACATTTGTGTACAGATTTTTGTGATACTCTCTATCTGGTGAGACAACATCCTCATATTTTCTTTTAACTTATAAAGTACAGTTTCCTTTAGTTCTTTGAACATATTTATACTAGCCGATTTCAAGTCTTTATCTGGGCTTTCTCAAGGACAGTTTCTATTGAGTGCTTTTTCCCCCCTTTGTTTGGTCCATACTTTCCCATCTCTGTGCATGTTTCCTAATTTTTTTGTTGGAAACTAGACATTTTAAATAATATGATGTGGTGATTCTGGAAATCAGATGTCATCTTTTCCAGGGTTGTTGCTACTTTTTATTGTTGCTGTAGTTATTACATTACTCTATGTTTGGTGACTTTCCTTTATTCTTTGCCATGTGTAGCCACAAGTCTTTGCTTGGTTAGCTTAGTGGTCAGTTAATGATTGGACAGAGGTTTCCTTAAATGCCATGAACCATTAAGTCTCCCAACCTTTGCCAAGGGGGCTGTGTGTGTGTGTGTGTGTGTGTGTGTGTGTGTTGGGGCACGGTTTCAGTGCCCTGGCGGATTACAACTTTGCCTTAGCCTTCACTTTCTGTTTGTGCAGAACCTCAAGGTCAGCTAGAGGTGAAGATTAGGTTTTTCTTGGATCCTCCCCTGACTTTACACAGCCCTGCACATTCACAAAGCCTTCTAGCTTCTCAAGACTATGTTAGAGTTTTTTTTTTTAACTTTTAATTTAAATACCAGTTAGTTAACATATAGTGTAATATTAGTTTCAGGTGTACAATATTGTGATTCAACTTGTCCGTACAAAAACCAGTGCTCATCACAACAAGTGCACTCCTTAATCCATGTCACCTATTTTCCCCATCCTCCCACCTGCCTCCTCTCTGATAACCATTAGTTTGCTCTCTATAATTAAGAGTCTGTTTCTTGGTTTGTCTCTCTATGTTAGAGGTTTTCCAAGCCCTCTGTGGACATTGCCTACATTTTCCTTTTTTTCATTTTGGTCAGTCTCTTATTTGCCTTAACTGGTATTGCCGCCACGGGCTGCTATGATATTAAACAGTTGCTGCTGATTGTTTTGGGCAGATCCCCTGAAGACAGGGCTGAGTGAGCTCTAAGTCAGGTCAAATAAACATAAGCTCTGAAAACAGGACTTTTCCAGGGAGCTGCTAAATAGGTCAAATACAGGTATATCTCAGAGATATTATGAGTTCAATTCCAGACCACTGCAGTAGAATGAATACTGCAATAAAGCAAGTCAAATTAATTTTTTCGTTTCCCAGTGCATATAAAAGTTATGTTTATGCTGTACTACACTGTAGTTTATTAAGAGTGCAAGCATTATGTCTGAAAAACAATAGACAATATACTTTTTTTTTTTTTGGACAACATACCTTAAAAAATACTTTATTGCTAAAAAGTACGAACCATCATCTGAGCTTTCAGTGAGTCATAATACTGATCACAGTATTATATTATTATACAAATATAATAATAATAATTAAAAAATTTGAAATACTGAAAGAATTACTAAAATGTCACAGAGACACAAAGTGAACAAATACTGTTGGGAAATGGCTGCCAATAGACTTGCTTGATGCAGGGTTGCCACAAACCTTTAATTTGTTAAAAATATTTATCTGCAAATATTCAATATTTGCAAAGCCCAGATAAAGACTTGAAATATATTCAATAAAGCAAAGTGCAGTAAAACAAGGTTTGCCCACAGGGATTATTCTCTGGGGATAGGTGACTCGAGAGCTCCGAAATTCATTCTGTTCCCTCTAGGTGTGCTAGGTTGCTGGCTTTCACAGTTACCGTGGTTATGAGGCTGTTGGTTTTCAAGGCTACAGAAGAGCTAGAGAGAGATACTTGGGAATATATGGCAAGTTAAAATGCCACAGTTTGCTCCTTACCAAGATTCAGTCATTTTTCTTGAATGAATGTTCCTTGGACTGTTGCAAGTTCTTGGTTAATTTCCAGAGTTCTGAAAAATTTGATGACAATTTTTACTAGTGGTTTGTTTTTTTTTTTAAGAATTTTTTTTTGTTTATTTGTCAGAGAAAGAGAGTGCGCGCTCACAAGCAGGGGGAGCAGCAGAGGGAGAGGGAGGGGGAGAAGCAGACTCCCCGCTGAGCAGGAGCCTCACATGGGACTCCATCCCAGGACTCTGGGATCATGACTTGAGCCAAAGGCAGACACTTAACCAAGTGATCCACCCAGGCATCCCTAAAGCTTGTTTTTTTTCCTCCCAGTTTAAGTGGGAAGTTTTTTTTCCCAATTAAGTTTTTTTTTCCCCCAAATTAACTGACTGAGCCACCCAGGCGTGGCGTCCCTACTAGTGTTTTTGTTGCTTTTATGAAAGAATGGATTTTCAGAGGTGTCCTGACTTTGTCATTCTGAAAGTGCTTCTTTCCCACCCTTCCATCACTGTTTTATTTTATTTTTTTTTAAAGATTTTATTTATTTATTTGACAGAGAGAGACATAGCGAGAGAGGGAACACAAGCAGGGGGAGTGGGAGAGGGAGAAGCAGGCTCCCCGCCGAGCAGGGAGCCTTTTGTGGGACTCGATCCCAGGACCCTGGGATCATGACATGACCTGAGCCAAAGGCAGATGCTTAACCGACTGAGCCACCCAGGCGCCCCTCTGTTTTATTTTTAAATAAAAGATTGTACCCAAATATCTTCATATATAATTTCTAGGGTATTGTATTTTCTTAATAATAATAACATCCTTTCCTGTTGTTTCCCTGAAATAGCCTATTTTGATCTTTTTGTCAGAAGAAATTTCCTGGCCTCTGTTTATAATTTCCCTTTTAAATTTTCATTAGAAGAGGAAAGTAGAGACATGTATGTTGGCCTTCAGTGCTGCCTACCCAGCCTTGGAGTTTGTTGTATTTCAGAGGGAAATTGTTATTTACCTTCTCTTCAGCAGCCTGCTCTGTAGTTCCTTAGCCTGTATGTGTAAGTAAATAGTAAAGAATACTGTTTTTCATTTCTTTAACTAATTAGTTAACTTACAAAGGGGACAATTTTTTGTTGCCTAGTTGCTGAGAGATACTTACTTAGAGCTTCTCACACCTCACAGTCAGCTCTTTCACATTGGGCCAGCCTTTCAGGTTCATCATCCTCGCTTCCTCTCCTTTCTGCTCCTACAGCTCTTTGATCTGAGGGGGAGAGTTAGTCTCTGTACTTCAGTTGGGAAAAACTGTAATTTAACATAAAGGTGATAAGCAGGATTTTGTTTTGTTTTGTTTTGTTTTGTCTTAAAGGAACTGAAATATGATGTTGGTGGAGGAGAACGGTTTGACTCTTTGACAGATCTTGTGGAGCATTACAAGAAGAATCCCATGGTGGAAACATTGGGCACAGTACTACAACTCAAGCAGGTGAGCATATTGGAAAGCTAAAGCTCCATCTCCTTATAAAGTTTTAAAAAATCCTAATATAGAATATTCCAAATATAGAGTAGTAGAATAGTCTCAAGAACCTCCAAACACCCATTACCCAGCTGCAGTTGTGATCAGCTTACCAAGTCTTATTTCATTGTTACTGTGCTCACTGCCCTTCTCCTGTGGTATTTGGAAACAAATGCCAGATATTACATCATTTCCATGATTATCTCCATGTGTATGTCTAAAAGGCCTCATAGAGTTTTTAAAGCAAGCTTTTACCAAGTTTGCAATCTAGATCTACCTTTGGTTATCTTTGGGCTATTACACTCAACTCACTTTGGAGTTACTGCTATTTCGAAGTTTACCTAGTGGCAGATTATATCATCTCTCTAAATAATGTTGTGGTCTATTTATAAAGAAAAATAGGTTTGAATTTATATTACCAGAGTAAAGTGTGTGTGGAGATTGAAGAAAGATATATTTCCTCACAAAATAGAAAAGAAAGTGAAACTGTATTTGAAAACTTTTATTGTGAATTACCATGTCCTTTGAATTTCCTGTCCTTGCCTTACGAATTATCAACATGGAACTCTTTTTTTTGCATTAACACTTTTTTTTGGTAATACTTTCTTCATTTCACACCAACTGCTGAATTTGATTAGCCCCTCAACACAACACGTATCAATGCTGCTGAAATAGAAAGCCGGGTTCGAGAACTAAGCAAATTAGCTGAGACCACAGATAAAGTCAAACAAGGCTTTTGGGAAGAATTTGAGGTAAGTTATTAAAAAAAAATTTTTTTACACGAGTTATTAAATCCTATTTTTAATGAGAGAGAAGTTGGCCCTGTATTTGGAATTGGATCTGAAAGACTCAAATCTGTGTTCTTTCTTAATTCAGCCATTGATTGACATGGAACAAGTTGCTGAGGGGGCTTCTTTGAAATAGAAGGGCATTGTGTTCTGGGAGAAGGGAGTTGGCAGTTAATATTAAATGGATGAGCCAATAGCTCCATTTGCCTCTTTTGGTTTGGACTGCTGGCAAAAACCCAGAAAAACAAAAGGATCTAATTCCTTTGGAAGATTTCCAGCATTGGCTGGCTTCTTTAGAAAGAATCTATAGCCTTATTGCAGTGAATAAGTAAAAGTGAAATACCTCACAGCGGTTTTAATTTGGGAGTTGACATTTATAACTTTGGGAAGTTAAGTGAATGATTTCTTTCCTGAAACCAACTTGGGTAGGAGAATGTCTCCAGAGGGAATGTGCTGTGTTCCTGTTTCACTCTGGTATGTCACTTACCAATTCGTATTGTAACGTCGTTCTTTCTCTTCTCATCCATTGGACTGAAAACTTCCTCAAAAACAAGAATTGTATCATACTTACCTTCATAGTTACCCCTAGCATGTGGCACGGTGCCCAGTACACAGTAGAAACTCCATAAATATTTGTTGAATGGGTATTTACATTTAGCTAATGTTTGTGTCATTTTATTATTACTATTCTGTTTATGGGAACAATAGATTATTACATACTTTCTATAGGACTTTAGAATTCATAAATATTTGTGGGACGAATGAATGAATGGCCACATGAAGTCCTTAAAACCACAGTAGGTCAGATCAACTTGTTGAGAAAGACGTTATTTCCATTTTATAGAGGAGAAAGCTGAGGTTTGGGGAGGTTAAGTAAATTGTCCAGCCTCTATACCACAAATACTGATTGCACTGCAGCATTGAGGTTGGGTACAGAATAGAACAGTCATAGTCCTTGCTCCACATTACTGAACAGGAACTTGAGCTCAAGTTTATTCGTTCATACCAGGCATTGGGTTAATCACCAAGGACACGGTGGCGAACAAGGTAGACAGGGTTTCTGTCTTTAAGGAGCTTCTGGTCGAGAGAGGGAAGACAGTGATGAAGGGCATCACCAAGAAAGTGATGATCAACATAATGAGTCAGGATTTTTAAACCTCAAGCTCAGTACTCTTTTCATTCTGTCCCACCAGCGGAGAAAATAAAGGGCAGGATTTCTATTCATTTTAATTACATTCACTTTATTTCATTCATTTCATGTAGTCTTCATAAAGCCTCATGAGGTAGGATGGATAAGTACAGAAATTTTACAAACCTTACATTAAAATTTGGAGAACCTATTTTTAAAAAAAATTTTTTTAAAAGATTTTATTTATTTATTGGAGAGAGAGAGAGAATGAGCAATGGGAAGGAGCAGAGGGAGAGGGAGAAGCAGGCTTCCTGCTGAGCAGGGAACCTGATGCAGGACTGGATCCCACCACCCCGGGATCATGACCTGAGCCGAAGGCAGACACTTAGCAGACACTTAACCAACTGAGCCACGCAGGCGCCCCACAGTACAGCCATTTGAAGAGTTCTGCTCATTGGCTTCTGACACAGGTGTCCATCTGTGTACCCACTACCCCAGCCCTCGGGCATCGCGTTGCTGTCATTCTGGGAGGTTCCTTCCCAGGTGTGCCTTCCCCGTCTCCACCCCTGCCGGGTGACCGCTGATGGCTTTCCTCCACTCAGCGTTAGGTGTTCTCATTCCTTTCAAATCGTGGTAAAATACAGAAAACAAAATTTCACATCTTAACGTTAACATTTCTAAGCGTTCGGTTCAGGGGCATTGAGTACATTTTCGGTGTCCAGCAGCTGTCGCCACCCTCCCCCTCCAGAACATTTCCATCGTCCCACACCGGAACTCCGTCCCCAGCGGCTCCCCGGCCCAGCGGCTCTGTCTCTGTGCGTCGGATCGCTGCAGGATGTCCTGAGAGTGGATCCTACAGGACTTGTCCTTTTGTGACTGGCCTCCTGGCAGATCATAACGCCCTCAGGGGTCACCAGTGTCCTGGCGCGCCCGGGCTTCATTCCCTGAAGGTTAAAGAATAGCGTGTCATGCGTCCGTGCCTCCGTGATGCACAGCTGGGTGGCGTCCACGTTCCGGACGCTGTGGGTCATGCTGCTGTGAGCCTGCACGCATGCATTTCTGGTCCAGGCCGCGCTCCTGGGTGTTTCCTGGGGGTGGGGGGGTTGCTGCTGGCTCGGGAAGCTCATATACATGGAGCCGCGTGCCCTTCTGTTTGGCCGCCCCTGCTCTACCTGCCGTCCGAGATGTTTGTCCAGGTTGCCATGGGTGCGCATAGTTTGTTCTGTTGGTTGCTGCCTGATCTTCCTCTGTGGATTCAGCACAGGGGCGGACTGTTCTTTTGCTGATGGACAGACGCTCAGGGCTATTATGGGAGTCTGGAGAACCTATTTTTCAAAACTTTTTATTATGCAAAATTTCAAATATATACAAAAGCAGAGAGAGAGCATAATCATAACAATGTATCTGTCACCAAGTATTAACAATTGTTGATATATGGCCAGTCTTATTTATTTATTTTTAAAAAGATTTTATTTACTTATTTGTCAGAGAGAGAGAGCACAAGCAGGGGGAGCGCAGGCAGAGGAAGAAGCAGACTCCCTGCTGAGCAAGGAGCCTGATGCGGGACTTGATCCCAGGACCCCGGGATCATGACCTGAGCCAAAGGCAGTTGCTTAACCCACTGAGCCACCCAGCCGTCCCTGGCCAGTCTTTTTTAACTACTCCCCACTAATTCTCCCAACCTTGGCTTATCTTTTTTTTTTAAAGATTTTATTTATTCATTTTTAGAGAGAGAGCAAGCAGGAGCGGGGGGGGAGGGGCAAAGAGAGAGGGAGAGAGAATCTCAAGCAGATTCCTCACTGAGCGTGGAGCCCTGAGATCATGACCTGAGCCAAAACCAGGAGTCGGATGCTCACCCGACTGAGCCACCCAGGTGCCCCCAGCCTTGGCTTATCTTGAAGTAAATTCCAGGTGTTTTTTTAATCTATAACTATTTCGTTTCAAAAGATTTTAACCAGGGGCACCTGGGTGGCTCAGTCATTAAACATCTGCCTTCGGCTCAGGTCATGATCCCAAGATCCTGGGATCGAGCCCCGCATCAGACTCCCTGCTCCGTGGGAAGCCTGCTTCTTCCTCTCCCACTCCCCCTGCTTGTGTTCCCTCTCTTGCTGTGTCTCTGTCAAATAAATAAATAAAATCTTAAAAAAAAAACACACAAAAGATTTTAACCAGAATATCATTCTTACACCTGAAGCTATTAACAATAATTCCTTAACATTAACGGATGTCATTCACTGTTTACATTTTCCTGATTGTCATGTGTGCATGCGCGCACATACACGCAGTTTGTGTGCATCGAGAAGTGCTTTTTCCTACTTGATTAAGAAAAAATTTTGAATGTATTATATAGAATAGATTTGTATAAAGAACCCCCATACATCATTATCAACTTTGCCAATTATTATTATTTTATTCATAAATACTTCGGTGTTTATGGAATTCTTAAATTAATCAAAATACTGTTCCACATCTAGAAAAAATAAAAGTTCATCAAACATCACTATATTATGCTAGCTGTTTTATAATTTTTTTTTTAAAGATTTTATTTATTTATTTGAGACAGAGAGAATGAGAGAGAGCACATGAGAGGGGGTAGGGTCAGAGGGAGAAGCAGGCTCCCTGCCGAGCAGAGAGCCCGATGTGGGACTCGATCCAGGGACTCCAGGATCATGACCTGAGCCGAAAGCAGTCGCTTAACCAACTGAGCCACCCAGGCGCCCTAGCTGTTTTATAATTTTAAAAAAATTTGTTGGATTATGATTCAGATAAGCTTCACACATCTGTCTCTTTTAAAAGTCTTCTGTCTCTTAATATTCTGGCTCCCTTCCATCCTTTCTTACCCCCCTTCCTTCTTCCCCCTCTCCCTCATCTTAGTGTGTTCAGGCTGCTATAGGGTAGTTTATAAACAGAAATGTATTTCTCATGGTTCTGGAGGTCTGAGATCAGGGTGCCAGTATGGTCAGGTGAAGGCCCTCTTCTGGGTTGCAGAATTCTTGTATGCTCACATGGCAGAAGGGATGAGGGAGCACTGTGGGGTCTGTCTCTTTTTTTTTTAGGGAAAGAGAGTGCATGTACACATGGGAGCAGGGAACAGGGGCACAGGGGAAGGGGCAGAGGGGGAGGAGAGAGAGAATCCTAAGCTTAATCCTAAGACCCTGAGATCATGACCTGAGCTGAAATCAAGAGTCGGACGCTCAACTGACTGAGCCACCCAGGCGCCCCTGTGGGGTCTCTTTTATAAGGATACCCCACCTCTTAATATCATCACCTTTGGGGGCAAGAATTTCATTCAACATGAATTCTGGGGGGACACAAACATTCAGACCATAGCACCCTCTTTTTTGTTGATGTTGTTGTTGGAGAAAGCAGGTCCTTTGTCCTGAAAGTTCCCTTATGGTCTAGATTTTGCTGAGTTGTGATTACTAAAAATAGTTTAATATTTTTTTCCATTAAAGAGCAACAAAAACAACATCTCTTAGGGTAGATCCTTCAGAGATGGGTAATCTCATTCCTGAGCTTTAAACTCATTTCTAATAGTCTTCTCTGTGTGGTTGTAAACTAACTGGGTATATAATTAGGTTATGGGTTTCATATTAGGTTTGGATTTTAGAAGTTTTATTTATAATTATATGAAATGTTGCTTTTGATCCTAAAAAGTATATTCAGAGAAATCTCCCTTGTACTCTGTCCTTTTCTCCCTGTATGTATAGCCATTTTTTAAAAAGTTGTAGTTTATCGTTACATTTTAAAGTATAAGCAAATATGTATATATGTCCATATTCCCTCTCTTTCATAGATAAACAGTAGCGTAACTTTACACATTTTTTTCCAGCCT